AGAGGTCATAAGCGGACCGCGATCCGGATCCAGATCAATATGACCGGACCGGAGCAGAACCTGCACATTTAGAGGATGTTTGGCTCAACCTGCTGCTGTGAAGCAGGATTCTCCACCATGAACAGAATAAAAAATAAATCTGGATCCAGGCTCAAAATGAGCACCTTGATATGTGCTTGAGAATGGCTTAGTCTCCATTCAAACCCAGGTTTAAAGCCTTGCAGGGCAGCCTAAGCCCACTTTTATAAAATATGTGAATCAGGAAAATTGTCTGTATACCAAACTATTGTTGTTTCCTACTTAAAAAAAAAACACTTTAGATTTTAAAATGAAAAAAAAAAAGAAAATTTTTTTTTATTAAAAGATTCAATGTATAACATGGATGCACCCCGTTTAATCTTAGTGTTAAATTTTGTTTAAAGTCACAGATCATTAAAAATGTCTCCAGACCTTTACTGGTTGATGATTTTCTTTATTCAGACCCGCTGATTTTTAATTGGTTCCCCTGCTATAAGGGTTGGGGATGATGAACCTGCAGTTACAGGATTCAAAGGCTTTTGTTAGGTTTTTCTATTTAGCTAAAAATAAGCCCAAACACAAATTTGAACGCCATAAATTTATTCAGTGCTTTCATATCCGTGAGAATGCAACAGTAACAAAATTAAAATATTATAATGTACAGATAGACTGGTTTCTTTAAGTATCTCTTTTGTAATGGCTCAGAAACATCAGCAACATTAACAACAACTAAAAAAAGGAAAAAAAAAACAGTGACTGAAAAAAAAAACTTGGATGTTTTGCTTTTTTTAAACTAGCAAATAACACACTATTTAAACACCTGCTTCTGTCAAACTTATTGCATTACAATACTCATTTTCAAGGCTACTTACACTCTGTTGCTTTTTTTGTTGTTGAAAAAGCTCCGTATGTCTGACGACTTTTTCGGTGGCATCTTTTTTGTTTTGTTAAACCAACCCGTCTAATACTTTTTTAATATTAACGAGTGCTACTGTGTGTCGTCTCTCCTCCAATCACGTAGCTACTTGATGACGCGGTGAATAGCGACCGCCAATCCATCATAAAGTAACAGACGTGGAGCCATGGACATAGGATACAATGATGTTATATAAGTAGGCGGGACTCAGGAGCAGCGGGATAGCGAGACACAAACGCCTGATTTGGCCTGTTTTCCAGTGTCGTCCTGTTTCTCTGACTGACTAACTGGATGTGCTCTCTTCATCCTCTGAGATGGGAGCTGGCTCGGAGCTCGTCTGCCTGGCTGTGTGTTTCCTGGACGGGGCCGCCTTTTACAGATGCTTTTTATATCTCTGCTTCTGTCTCCTTGAACCCCAGTCGGCCTCAGCAGATGGCCGCTCACACTGTGCCAGGTTCTGCTGGAGGTTTCTTCCTGTTACAACTGAGTTTTTCCTCTCCACTGTCACTACAAGCATGCTTGCTGTAAGGGATTGCCTTCCAGTCAATGAGTTGATGCAATCAAATGGTTTTCATTAGATAGAAAACTTTTAAACTGGTTTCATTTTCTCCTATACTGTTTCTACATTCTCATCAATTATGCACTTTATAATGTTAATGTTCATTTCACTGTTGTAAGCAAAGTAATTTAGTTTTGTATACATTCTGTGTATACACACTGACAATAAAGTTTGTTTAAATCTACGTCTTTTTAAAAAGAAGAGGCTCTGAGATTCAGAAAAAGAAAAAGACAAGAACAACAATCAAAGACTGTTTAAGGCTGAGATAAAAAAGGACAAAGTTTATGATTAAAAATGTGAGGACAGGCTGAAGAGGAGGAGAAATAAGATGAAAGATGAGGAGAAAACAGAAATAAAAAGATGGGAGGAGAGAAAGAAGACACTATAAAAGAATTAAAGGACAAGGAGAAATGATTATGAGCATAAACAGGAAGGGAGGGCATGAGATCAAAGAAGAAAAAAATCAGGAAGAGAGCAAGAAGGAAGGGAGGAGAGAAACAAAAAGGATTAAAGAACGGAGAGAAGTCTGGAGGAGGAGAAAGAGGATGGAGTCAAAAGGTGTCAAGAAGATAAAGTGATGAGAAAGTAATGGAGGAGAAAGCTTACATAATGGAGTGAGAGCTGTGCTGGAGCGGCCGGTTATATAATGAGCCTATAAAAAGGAGTGACGCTGTTTACAAAGACTGATTCACATTAACAGAACACTTAGAGCAGAGCGACTCAGGACCAAATCTGCTCCTCTACGTTTCCCCCTTTTTTCTGCACTTTCTGTTAAAGCACCAGTCCTCATTTTCCCCCTAGAGAAGCTTTGCAGGAGCTTCTCTCCCTCCCCCCTCTGAGTTTGTGTGTCTAGGTGTTTGCTTCATTTCTCACCTCTTCCTCCTCCTCTCTCTCCAGCACTGATGCAAAGAGTGGGTAAATCTGAAAAACATAAGAAAGCAAAGGAAGGAATAAACATTTGGATCGGTTCCTGTCCATCAGTCCAGGAAAGTTTCAGGCTGTAGAGTCACTCTGTATTCAGACAGCTTGGCTGTTTCTTTGGATATGATTCATCTTCAATCATCAGCAATAAAAGCTGAAACCTGTGACAAAGCATCAACTGTAAGGAACCGGAAGGACTTAAAAAACGCCTGAACCAGGTCCAGAGGACTAACCAACATTTAGAGAGTTTATTGAATAATAAACCAAACTGGTTATGGTTCTAGCTTCAAACCAGTACCTGCTTATAGTACTTCTATTCTGCTGAAGCAGTGGGTCTAGTACTAAAAACCTGCTGGACCAAAATAATAAGCTGCTTTCATTTAAACTAGAAACTAAAGTCTGGAACCAGTTAGAACCTGGGTTCAGCCCCAGCCTGCCAGCTGAGCTGCATTCTTGGACGAGTTTATAAACCCGGCTGGGAACTGGACTGCTGCTTATACAGTAAGCGACAGTCTGTTGGGGAAAATAGTTTAGAATTTAGACTGTTAGCATGAAGCTGTTTGTAATGAAGGACAAAGAACAATGTCTGTCATTCAGAAATATTGCTGAGAGGAAAATCTCTGACCGTAGAGCAGCCCCAGCTCCACTGGTTCTTCTCAAAACCTACAGCTGATGTTCTGGTTCCCGTAACTGTTGCCTTGGCGCTGTCCAATTGCCTGATGGTAAAAAATGAAGAGAACAAGTCCTCCTCATTCTAAGATTTAACGAGGACAGGAAAAGGAAGAAGGAAGAATAAAGCAATACAGACCAATTGGTTCCAAACACACTTTATTATTAATCCAAAAGGTAGATTCACAGTCATTTTAAATCACTACTCTACCAAACCAAACAAATCCTTCACTTCTGAAAGATGTGCCAAGACACTGTAGTCCTGAAAAGTGAAAGTTTTGGTCATGATAAATGAGGGGCAGCAATTTGTACTACTTCAGGGACACCTAAAGTCTGTTCTAAACTGAAACACAGAGGTTTCAAAAGTTTTACGAACAGTTAAAAATAAATATTTCATGGTGTTGGTAAGATTTTATGTTCTTTTCAATTCCCAGCCAGCTGGGAGTTTATATTTCTGATACTTAAAGACTTGTATTGCCCTCCCCGGTAGGGCTGGTGAAATATCCTTTTTAATCAGATATTATTTCAGCTGTTGTATATTGTTTATGACACACGCCCTACTAGTTGTGTCTTAGAACAATAGATGAAAGAGTGATTCAAGCTCTAACAGTTAATTCTGCACATACATGGAATAAATTCATCACAACTTCTGTTCAAAATATGAGAGTTTTTTAACAAAAATCAAATCAATCACCTAAACTAAAATACTTTGTACAAAGAGGAAGGGGAAACATGGTCGAAAAACCATATTACAGTTTAAGGATTTTTATGTCTGAAAACCAAAGTTTATCTGGCAGAATTTGGGATATGATCAAATTAGCTTGCCACTAATTTAGAGAAATTGGAATGTTTTCAGACCAATTCACAATGCAAATCCATCAGGTGAATAAAACATTATTTGTCCAAATAATGTTTTATTGAATTATTTGCTTAATCAAGAACCAAAAACCTTTAGTCAAATGACTCTTTAACCTCTTTGAAATTGCTAGCAGCAAATTGGCATCAAGATCCCACTGAGTGATTCTTGGTCATACTTGGCAATGGAAATGTAACGAGCATCTGAGGACGGTCACATGTCCGTGACTTGCCATGTGACTTGCCTTTGGAGACCTTGACTGAAAAGCGAGGGGGTTGCAGAGATTCCACAGCTGATTCCACTTCATCATGTCAAGATGAAATATGGACACTGGTTCCCAATCTCCAAAGACCATGATCATGCCATATGGCACAGCAGTGTCAAAGTGCCATGTTCAGGTTGGTGTTTGAATCCATAGCTAAACTCTTGCTGCCTCCTTATTTCCTCGGACCTCCAAGGACCCAGTTTATCTGGACTGGGTCCTTGGAGGTCCGAGGAATAAGCAGCTGCTGAAATTGAACACCCCCAGGGTATCCAACTGCAGTTGCTAACTTTCACAACCAGGACTCATCATGATAACTTAAAAAATCAAGAATCGGAAGAAAGCGCCCTGCTGTGGGGCTGCAGATGAAAGGGTTAACACTGAAAGCTTTTAATCCAAATCACTTAGTGTCCCTATTTTTTACTCCCTGTTATATAAGTGACATTCAGCTATTTTAATCATTTCTAAGCTGTGAAGTTCCAGCAGGTAACCAGAAGGTGTCTACAGACAGTTGTCACCTGTGATGTTGACTGTTTTGATTTAGAACATGGCTGAGTGATCTGACAATAAGTCCTATTAAAGCAGAAGGTAATGAGGAGGAGTATTGATGAGAGGTCAGCTGTTAATCTGGACATACAGATTTGGTTATAAAAAATGACTGCTAACAACAGCCACCATGAACAAGAGCTTCAACACGCCTGCATCAAAGAAAATGGAGGAATCGATAATGTCTTTATGCCTGAATTGTGCTCTTCTCTGCGCATTTCTCTGTGGCTTTTTTTTCTTCATCCTTGTCTAAATCCTCCTCTCTATTCCTCCACCTCTTCCTCCCTCTCTGCTTATCCCTCCATCTCATCTTGTCAATAACAGTCTCCAAGGCTCAGTGACTCATCTGGACATTTGGTTGTTTCTTTTCACTTCCCTCTGCTGTTTGTTTCTGCTTCTCTTTCACTCAAAGTCTAAATATAGTCCATCAGTAATCCTCCCTTCTGTCTCTCTGGATGTTTTTCTCTCTGACTGATATACTCCCGCTGCAGCTGTCTGTCCATCTTGTCGTCTTCATTTCTTCGTCTCACATTCACCCACAAAGGAGGAGATTAAAATACTATGTTTAATTTTAGTTTTTTTTTTTTTTTTTATAAGGCTGCTGCCAACACGATGCAGCAAGTTATTCCCCACAGATAATTTGATAGACAGGAGAACTTGGATTGGGCCGTCATATTTTCTGGATGCAGGGGCTGAACTTCAAAAACATCATGATCCAGACACTTTTCAGTGTTTTAACAATAAAAAAAAAATTATGAATTGAAGTAAATCAACAAAAGAAGACATTTCAAATTCAAGTTAAAGAGAATTTACATCATTACTCCATCTGAACTAATCAAATTGGTCGTACATAAGAGGTCACCAAGGTTAGTGCTGTCCAAATATTGCTAGCAGTAAGGAAGAGGGAAAAGGATACAGAATGATTCAGCTGTTTGTTCACTACATTTGTGTAACTTGCATAATATGTTGTTTTTTTTCCAGGAGGCTGTTCCAGATTAAGTACTAGTGTGATGTTTTTTCATAGATCGTTAATTGACGTTTATTCTAAAGGACAGTTATACAACTTTCATTTTGAGAAGACAGCTTTTATTGTAAAAGGAAAACAAGTCCCATGTGCAACAGTAACCTCCCATTTAGAAATGTCTATTTTTTATTTGATTGATATTTACTGTGTTGCTTTTATTGTAATTGTTAATTATATTTAATATTAAATACACTAAGCTCACAGGTTAATATGTTCAATTAAAACTCTGTGTTTAAACTAGTTAGTTTAATGTGTTAGTCCAGGGCAGTTGATTAAGTAATTTTCTGCTCTTTCCCTTTTGTCTGGAAGAAGTTGCAGTTGGACACTCTGATGAGAAAGTGCCTTTTATTGACTGCTACTTTTGATTACTGCCATACAGGAACATTAAATGCGCCTTCCCCTCAGCTGTTGGCTGAATGTGATTCCCAAAAGACACAGAGAGCTACACTTCATAATGCCTGTGTGTTTCAGTTGGGTAATGACGTCCAGAGGTCTAAAGGCTGTCCAGATTTTGAACAGCTGTCCGGACGTTTCTGTCCACAATGGTGTTATTAAGGTTGACCAGAGGAAAGGTGAAGAAACAAGAAATGGCGGCTACAATTTGATGTATTTGGACTGAGCCTAGATCTATACTATTACTTTGCTTGAGGTATGAAGTGACATTTGTGCATTAGACCCAAGGTTAACAACAACAGTCCCAGCACAGGTTCAGCTCTGCATGTGATTTAATTGACTATTGACTAATCAACTTGTTAACAAACACATATTTGAACCAAAATAAGCAAATAATTCAGTCTCATATTTTTTATTCAAGAAAATGCGATTAATTAAGACTAATTAATTACAAAGCTGCTAATTAACTAGAAGTGTCACAGACCTGAATAACTCTGATACTAAGCTCAACTCCCTTCCAGCATTTAGCAATTAAACCAGGCTTTTTTTGTGCAAACATTAAGTCTTCATTATATGACATTAAAATATGTTATCATAGATACATGTGAGGTATTGATTTCATATTTACTGCTCAATGTGTGACTCATACAGCACAGTTTTTCTTAGTATTTTTATCAGAGCTGGTAAACTTTGAATCAATAAATTAAGTTTAATAAAGTGGCCTGATGCAGTGTATAATAGTAACAATGACGATTTAAAAAAAAAAGTAATTATTGCTTTCTGGAATCTCCTGGAGGTGGAAACCATGAAATGCTCAGATGGGTTTCTAACACCCCAATGGTCTCCATATTTCAAAGGTTCTGTATTTCTTGTGGTTTTTTAGTTGTTGCCTTTAGGTTCATTAAGCTGTTTATTTCAGCAGCCTGGGCCACTCACTTCAGATCAGATCAGAGCAACGCCCACATCACTGCAGATGATCTCAGTTTCCCTCTCTTCTGCTTGAACTCCTCGCCTGGAGGGAGAGAATAAACTAAGCTCAAGACGTTTTCTGCTTTGGTTGTCCTTCCAAATGCATATTTTAATCCTTTGAACTCCAGCTTCTTATGTTTTGCAGAATTGTTTTCTTAAAAAAAATAGGTATAAAACACGTAAAAACAAAACAGATTTTCTTAAAGATTTATATAAAAGTGGAGAGATCCTGAGTTTCTCTACTGGTGCGAAGCCAATACTACTGTTGAATAAATTAATCA